ATAGTCGATGTTTTATTTAAGTTCTAGTTTTAGAATCATTTTTTTCATTTTACTAATTAGATAATGGCCATGTGGATGAGAAAAAAACGACCGAAAATGATGAAAAAAAGGCAAAGGCGAAATTGAGTGGTTTTAAATTCGATTGAGTGATTTGGTGATTTCTGTCTTTTTTTATTGTTATAAATGCATTAAAAGATAAGTAAATTACTTGGAATGTTGGCGCCGGGAAAAAAAAATATTATCTAAATTTCTAGGTTTTTCTCAGAAAAGCGCTTTCCTCGAGGAGGACATCAGCAGCAATTCGGTGAGCGAACAGAAGTTCCTAATACTTCTTAAAAGAATACTATAACAAACAAAAAAAATAATCCCAAGTCTAAGGAAAGATATGCGATAGGTAGCAAGGTATAAATATATATTATAGATAAATGAAAGTTTAAAAAAAAATTAATGGCAGATAGGTAATTAACAGATCAAGAAAATACAAAGAAATTTATTTGTTTATGGTTTTTTGTTGGTAGCAAAACGGTCAAGGGAAGGGGGGCGATCTAAATCTCTATCGATATCCGAGATTTTCAGGTGTTTAAAGATTAGATAAAATGCAAGAGACCCCCTAATTTTAAATTCTGTAGTATGTCTGTGTAGTATTTCGTCCCTTTGTTTTGGATTGTCCTTCCACGCGATTATTTTACATTTAATAATGAAAATAAGAAGCAAGGGCCTACACCTCTAGTCGACGAGCCAAGCAGGAGAAAAATTCGCGTGAGCGCTTCTTTAGAAAACATCTTAGCCTTAACAGTTGTGAATGTTCGTTACACATCCTGCCTTATTCTGCAATTTTGTGTCTCCTTTATCGATTTCATCTCGTCTTATTGGTTACATTTGTATCAAATATTTTCCAAAATCCATACTTCTCATCCTTCTAGCTAATGAATAGACTAACTAGCTGTAATTGTCTACATTTTTATTTAAGATAATCCAAAATATGCACCCCACAACTTCTATAATGTTCTACACACCCAATTCAAACACTATAAATGATCGAGGACAATAGATAGTTTACCAAAATCTACCCTGCTACGTCGAGTACCCGTGATCCCCAAGCTGTTGAAAATTGCTCAACTGTAGGAGCCATCCGTTCAGAGGCTTTGTGACCAATAGCATACTTCGGAGAAAGTGCCAATCAAAGCTAAAGTGAACTTATGCATAACTAAAAACCAATATCCTCAAGTAATACAATCAGAAAGAAAACATTCAAACATGCATACATTTAAACCAACCGAATCGATAGACAAAGTGCGAACCATGATGAACCATTAGAGAAGACGAGTCAATTCACCATCCGTTGAAGAAGTCTCATGCCTCTGTATTATATAAGTGAATTGGTATTGTTCATGTCGAACAAGGCAGAGTGCAACATTGCTGGGTTGGCATGACTGGTCGATGTTTCCGAACCGGTTAAAGAGCGCTCTATCTGTTCCTAGAATACCCGATAGACTAAGCTCACGCCATGTTAGTCCATTGGAGAATAACAAGTGAAAGTAAACGCAACCCCTCTGTTCTATTTCTTTGAGAAAAACTTGGACGATTCTTGGCACAGACCCACCCCAACATTTGGTCCTTCGAGCCGGATTTCTTTTCATCGTTTTCCACAAGCTAAATAATTCTAAAGTTTTTTGCACTTGCGATAAAATTTATATATATATTTCTTCCACACAGCCCCGCTTCACCGCCTCCATTTTCTGAAAATATATATATTTATATATTTTGTTTATCTTTCCCATCGGAAGCATAATCTGCTCACCACAAGTGGCACATTCCGCGCAAGTTCCACAAAATATATCGACATATATTTGTATATTATCAGCACAAACCCCGTTCCGCCAAATTGGCCGCTCGACCGGTAAGGCCTCCATTTTGTGCGAAAAAAATATATATATATTTTTTTTTTTGATCTTTCCGATCGGAAGCATAATCTGCACACCACAAGTGGCACATTCCGCACAAGTTTCACAAAGTGTATTGACATATATTTATATATACAAAGTCAGCACACACCCCCGTTCCACCAAATTGGCATCCCTTTTTTCTGAGAAAAAATATACATATGCGTAGATGTAGTTAAGATATATGAGTTATGAATTTCAGCGCAATTTAACAAAATTAAAACACAAAAAAAATTTAACATAATCCTGACATATACACATATACAAGTTATATATCTAGATTATTGTATAGATAAAACTTTTTACAGTGTAGTTATTTTTGGTTAGTTTCTCTCGCCCTTCATTCGCTGGCTTTTGCAGATAACGCTGTGGATCTTATCAACATGCTCAAGCTCAAGATAAGCCATCGAATAAACGGTTAAGTTAACACGAGGCGCCAGTCAATTATGCTGTACCTCTTCATAAGCTTTAACTTTAAGAGGAGTTCCTAAGTCAATGTCAACGAGAATAGAACGTGTAATAAAAGTCTGTCCAACAAACTCATACAAGAAAAACTTCAATTAAAGTAAAATAAAATAAAATAATTACTTAAATTAACTTCACACAATTGGCGCAGTCGGTGCGGTCTGAAAAAAAAACCCAGACCCGCAAAAGAATCTCATGAACAGATCCACAACAGGTGGACTTACAACGCACGACGAACAAAAATTCGCAAACAAAACTTAAACAAAAATCAGCCAGCTGAGTAAAAGTTTAAGTTGCGAATAAGAACAGCACAGGATGGCAGGAGAACATGTCCTTTCGGATCCCAATGCTTAACACAAATCCGACAAATACCTCCGTTTAATGGCGCTTTTCATCAAAAGAGTCGAACACCAACTTGGCCTGTACCCCACCAATAACCCAGTCCAGTCCAGCATTATTAATGTTAGAGCCCTCGAGAACCTCATCATTGGAAACGTTCAACACTTGCTCATGCGATCAACACCACGAGGCTGGACCTGAAGGTCCTACTAATCGGGGAGTATAACACCCAAACACCAATCCCTCAATTACTTATTGATATTTACAAAATTAAATATTCTGGAAATTTAAGAAAATTTGTCGATGACTTAGAACTGAAATCATTCATCATTTGTAATAAATTACATTTAGATGGCAGTATAAATAATAGATACCTGTTCACCAAAGCAATGAACTCAGCTGTTTGTGAAATTATTCGAAAAGAATTACCAAACCGAATATATATGTCAGTGTGTATATTTGATGTTAGTACCCCAAGTAAATTAGGACGTGTTGCTCAAGAACTTGGAATTTATAAAAATTAAGCAACATCAAAATTATTCAAATAAGAAATATTTTAACAACCCTCAAATGCTTCCTTATTTTGAGTACCAGCCTCCAATTATGCAAAACCGAAATTGATTTAATCCATTTTATCAGAATACTATTCAAAATATAATTAATAATCACCCATATCCACAGATTAATCAGCAAGTCCAAAGTCAAAATTATTTTAGAAATCAAGCTAGGCAAAGTAGAAACGATAGATTTGGCAACAACAGGTTCCTAAACAATTATGATACCAGAAACATTCAACAACAAGCCAATTCAAAAAATTATTGGTCTTTCGAATTTCAAAATCAGAAAGAAAGCAATGGTCGAAGCAATGGACACTAACGAAAATTTTCTAATAGAAGCCTCGGTCGATCAAAAAATTCCACAATTTGCATACAAATAAATAAACAAAAATATTTATGTCACGTAGATACAGGATCTAGTATTAGTCAAATTAGGCCAGACATGTTAAATACTCTTCCGTCGCATGAAACAAGCACGAAAGCAATATATACAATGATAGGAAAAGTCATTTTGAGTACCGTACGAGAAATTAACGCCAAACCTTTAACTAGGAAACCTGGAAAATTAAATCTTTTAATCCATGATTTTTGACAAAATATGATATTTTGATTGGAAGAGATATACTAGAATTAACTAATGCCCAAATAAACTTCAAAGAAGAATATCTAAAGTAAAATAACATTATTTTTAATTTCACCTCTAAAAAACCTAGTTACAATATTAATTTACCAAGTGATCTAAAAGAAGAAGTTAAGCAAAATTATATCCCAATTAAAAAAGTCACAAATTTGGACGAGAAATTGGAAGATAAAGACTTTAATTATGCGCTTAATGAAGAAATTAGTTATTCTAATAAAATTCGCATTAGTCATCTAAATAGTGAAGAAAGGAAATCAATAATGAATTTAATAATATCGTATGGAGATCTACAATTTGTTGAAGGTGACAATTTGACCTTTACACATACCATTAAACACATAATAAAAACTAAACATGAAAGTCCTGTCTATGTAAAACCATACAGATACCCATACATTTATAGAGATGAGGTCGAGAAGCAAAAAAAAGAATTAATAAGTCAGGGTATAGTTCGAAAATCATCTTCTCCGTATTGTAATCCAATATGGATAGTCCCAAAGAAAGATAATGCCTCGGAGACAACGAAATTTCGCTTAGTGATCGATTATAGACACTTAAAGAATATCACTATTAGCGACAAATTCCCAATTCCTAATATTGATGAAATATCAGACAAACTGCGAAAATGTCAGTACTTTTCGACCCTTGACCTTGCCAAAGGATTTCATCAGATCGAGATGGACCCGGAGTCCATAGAAAAAACCGCATTTTCAACACAAAACGGTCATTATGAGTACACTCGAATGCCTTTTGGGTTGAAAAACGCACCGGCGACATGTCAAAGGTGTATGAATGAGATTCTTAAAGATTTAATTGGTGTTCACTGCTTAGTTTATCTCGACGATATCGTTATTTTTTCTACGTCACTGCAGGAACATAACCTTTCAATTTTTAAAGTTTTCGATAAATTAAGAGAAGCTTATTTAAAATTACATTTGGAAAAGTGCGAATTTCTAAAACGTAAAACAAACTTTCTTGGTCATATAATTACACCTAATTGTATTAAGCCGAACCCAAGCAAAATAAAAGCCATATTAGATTTTTTCATCCCAAAAACATGTGGTTTTTATAAAAAGTTTATTAAAACTTTGCTAAAATTGCTAAAACTATTACAAAATGCTTAAAAAAGGGACAGTCAATCGATATAAATAACATAGAATACAAAAGCGCATTTAACAAATTAAAATTATTGATTAGAAGTGATCCTATTCTAACTTATCCAAACTTTAATAAAAAATTTACATTGACGACGGACGCCAGCAACTTTGCTTTAGGTGCAGTTTTGTCGCAGGACCAGAATCCAATTTGTTTTGCAAGCCGCACTCTTAACGAACATGAGACTTGGTATTCAGTTATAGAAAAAGAATTATTGGCGATAGTGTGGGCAACCAATTACTTCCGCTGTTACCTTTACGGTAGAAAGTTTAAAATTATTTCCGATCACAAACCTTTGGCTTGGTTACACAATGTAAAAGAGCCAAACATGAAGTTACAGAGGTGGATAATCAGACTAAACGAATACGACTTTGAAATTGAGCACATTAAAGGCAAACCAAATTTTGTAGCAGACGCTCTTTCCAGAGTAAACATAAAAGACAGAAGTCAAGAAGCGGCGACAAACTTTATAAACAACGAATCAGATTCACTTGTATCTGGAACTGAAGATTTTGAATCATTAGTCCCTACAATTCATAGTGCAGAAGAAGATGGCTTTCTAGGTATTCCAATTACAGAGCGTCGTCTGAATATTTATAAAAGACAATTAATATTCATAAAAAGTGACAAAGAAAAAGTCGATGTAGAAAAAATATAAAATCGCACTATTATAAAAATATTTTATTCTGAAATGACCAGTGAAAAGGGAAGCGATATAATACTAGAAGCCATTTGTGGACGAACCTCTACTACTTTGTTCGAAAATATTAATGATTTTGTTATTTTTCAAATAATATAAAATATATAAATATATATATATAATATAATAATATATAAAAATTATTCGACCAAACACTGGAACTAAACTCTATAAAGCTACAAAAAATCTTATAAATATAAGTAGCTATTCAGAATTTAAAGACCTTATTATTAAAATACACAAAAATAAAATTCATCAAGGAATACAAAAAATGATAATAGACTTTAGAAACTCATATTTTTACCCAGACTACATAAAATTAATACAAAACATAATTAACGAATGCAATACGTGTAATACGTGTAATTTATATATTTCTTCCACACAGCCCCGCTTCACCGCCTCCATTTTCTGAAAATATATATATTTATATATTTTTTTTTATCTTTCCCATCGGAAGCATAATCTGCTCACCACAAGTGGCACATTCCGCGCAAGTTCCACAAAATATATCGACATATATTTGTATATTATCAGCACAAACCCCGTTCCGCCAAATTGGCCGCTCGACCGGTAAGGCCTCCGTTTTGTGCGAAAAAAAAAAATATATGTATATATATTTTTTTGATCTTTCCGATCGGAAGCATAATCTGCACACCACAAGTGGCACATTCCGCACAAGTTTCACAAAATGTATTGACATATATTTATATATACAAAGTCAGCACACACCACCGTTCCACCAAATTGGCATCCCTTTTTTCTGAGAAAAAATATACATATGCGTAGATGTAGTTAAGATATATGAGTTATGAATTTCAGCGCAATTTAACAAAATTAAAACGCAAAAAAAATTTAACATAATCCTGACATATACACATATACAAGTTATATATCTAGATTATTGTATAGATAAAACTTTTTACAGTGTAGTTATTTTTGGTTAGTTTCTCTCGCCCTTCATTCGCTGGCTTTTGCAGATAACGCTGTGGATCTTATCAACATGCTCAAGCTCAAGATAAGCCATCGAATAAACGGTTAAGTTAACACGAGGCGCCAGTCAATTATGCTGTACCTCTTCATAAGCTTTAACTTTAAGAGGAGTTCCTAAGTCACTGTTAACGAGAATAGAACGTGTAATAAAAGTCTGTCCAACAAACACATACAAGGAAAACTTCAATTAAAGTAAAATAAAATAAAATAATTACTTAAATTAACTTCACACAATTGGCGCAGTCGGTGCGGTCTGAAAAAAAAAACCCAGACCCGCAAAAGAATTTTATGAACAGATCCCCAACAGGTGGACTTACAACGCTCGACGAACAAAAATTCGCAAACAAAACTTAAACAAAAATCAGCCAGCTGAGTAAAAGTTTAAGTTGCGAATAAGAACAGCACAGGATGGCAGGAGAACATGTCCTTTCGGATCCCAATGCTTAACACAAATCCGACAAATACCTCCGTTTAATGGCGCTTTTCATCAAAAGAGTCGAACACCAACTTGGCCTGTACCCCACCAATAACCCAGTCCAGTCCAGCATTATTAATGTTGGAGCCCTCGAGAACCTCATCATTGGAAACGTTCAACACTTGCTCATGCGATCAACACCACGAGGCTGGACCTGAAGGACCTACTAATCGGGGAGTATAACACCCAAACACCAATCCCTCAATTACTTATTGATATTTACAAAATTAAATATTCTGGAAATTTAAGAAAATTTGTCGATGACTTAGAACTGAAATCATTCATCATTTGTAATAAATTACATTTAGATGGCAGTATAAATAATAGATACCTGTTCACCAAAGCAATGAACTCAGCTGTTTGTGAAATTATTCGAAAAGAATTACCAAACCGAATATATATGTCAGTGTGTATATTGATGTTAGTACCCCAAGTAAATTAGGACGTGTTGCTCAAGAACTTGGAATTTATGAAAATTAAGCAACATCAAAATTATTCAAATAAGAAATATTTTAACAACCCTCAAATGCTTCCTTATTTTGAGTACCAGCCTCCAATTATGCAAAACCGAAATTGATTTAATCCATTTTATCAGAATACTATTCAAAATATAAATAATAATCACCCATATCCACAGATTAATCAGCAAGTCCAAAGTCAAAATTATTTTAGAAATCAAGCTAGGCAAAGTAGAAACGATAGATTTGGCAACAACAGGTTCCAAAACAATTATGATACCAGAAACATTCAACAAGCCAATTCAAAAAATTATTGGTCTTTCGAATTTCAAAATCAGAAAAACTGGAAAAACTGCAGCATCAATATTTTTATTTAACGAAGAGCCAGCGATAGACGTAAAACAAAATAAGGAAGATATAATACAGCGATTAAATAAAGAGGGAAGGGAACATGAAATTGATACACCTTTTGCCAAAGTAGATATGCAACTAAAAAGAAAATTAAAAATTGATAACCCATTTAGGAAAAGTAAACATATATCTAAGCTTGATGATACTCATTATAAGGAATATATTAACAATAGAAATATAAGGCGACACAGATCTAAATTTAAACGATTGAAATTAATTAGAAATTCATAGTACTCAAATGAATACGAAAGGAACAAAATGCTAATTCAAATGATAGTCGCAGCGAACAAGTTTAGTTGTATAAACACCACTTAAAATCCATTGTAATTTGTTTTTTTTAAGTAAATATTATATATTAACGAGGACGTTAATCATTCTTAAGAGGAGATGAGTTATATATGTATCTAGATTATTGTATATATAAAACTCTTACAGTGTAGTTATTTTTGGTTAGTTTCTCTCGCCCTTCATCCGCTGGCTTATGCAGATAACGCTGTGGATCTTATCAACATGATCAAGCTCAAGATAAGCCATAGAATAACCGGTATGTTAACACGAGGCGCCAGTCAATTATGCTGTAGCTCTTTATAAGCTTTAACATTAAGCGGAGTTCCTAAGTCATTGTCAACGAGAAAAGAACGTATAATATAACTCTGTCCAAGAACTACATATAAGGAAAACTTCAATTAAAATAAAATAAATTAAATTTAAAATTAAATAAAATCCATCCACCGTGCAATACCCAATACAAGTACTTTGACGGCATCAGTCATAAACACTTTGTTTCTTCTTTAAAAACCAGTTTTCTCCCTACGCGGCATCCCGAATGGAAAACACAGCCCAATAATCGTTTAGCTGATATTTCAGTAGATTTTAATTATTAGGGGTATTTACATTGCGCACTGGTATGTGTGCCGTCATACATGGTGTTCCGAGCATTCCGTACTGCAACGCGTCGCATAAGGGCTAAGACAGGCCGTTCACACTGCACTGCATTTGGGACGTCGGTAAAAAGAAACTCTATAACTTTTCCAAACTTACACATATATATATAAATATACTTATTTCAAAGTGTTTTAGCGAAAAATGAACTAAAAGCTCAAGTAGCGTTCCGATTTTACGTGTTCCGAATCCAACCCTTCTGGTTCAGTTTATGATTTATTCTATCCAACCACATATTATTTTTCTTTAATTTATATCCTTTAAGCGTATACATCCAAATCAAATTCCAGCACAATAATATATCGTATCCACTAACATATAAGTATTATTATATTATATATTATATTACATATGGTCTTTAATTTGAATTGTGTCGAAGTGTTTCATCCAAAAATAAAGTAGGTCCTCAAGCAGCGTTCCGATTCCACGCGTTCCGCATCCATTCCTTCTCCAAGATATACATCCATATCACAATCCAGCCAAGTAATATATCGGACCCACTTACACATTTTTATACCCGTTACTCGTGGAGTAAAAGGGTATACTAGATTCGTCGGAAAATATGCAACAGGCAGAAGAAAGCGTTTTCGACCCCATAAAGTATATATATTCTTGATCAGAATCACTAGCCGAGTCGATCTAGCCATGTCCGTCCGACCGTCTGTCCGTATGAACGCTGAGATCTCGGAAACTAAGAGCATCAATTCTGGGATTAGGCATGCAGATTCCTGAGATTCCTGCGCAGCGCAAGTTTGTTTCAGCAATGTGCCACGCGGACTCAAATGCCCATATACCGCCCAAAACTGTGGCGCCTACAGTTTTGATGCTAGAATAATAACTTGAACTGAAACGTATTGTTCTCATCAGTACCTATCGATTGACCAAAAACAAGTTTGCCACGCCCTTTCTAACGCCCACAAACGGCCCAAACCTGTGGCGCTTACAATTTTCATGCTAAATAAAAAATTTTAACTGAAATTTGCCACGCGCACTCTAACGCCCATAACGCTTAATTCTGTATACCGCCGGTAGGTGGCGCATTTTAATCTCGCTTTGCTGCTTGCTTATCTCTATTTAGCTGAGTAACGGGTATCTGATAGCCGAGGTACTCGACTATAGCGTTCTTCCTTGTTTTTATTATTTGAAATTACTATGTTATCTTTTTCTACTATACTTTCAACCTTATTGGGTCCGGTATATTTAAAGTCTAGCTTATGCCCTGTTTCATGTTTGTCAAAGCTAATTATACCCGTTACTCGTAGAGTAAAAGGGTATACTAGATTCGTCGGAAAGTATGTAACAGGCAGAAGGAAGCGTTTCCGACCCCACAAAGTATATATATTCTTGATCAGGATCACTAGCCGAGTCGATCTAGCCATGTCCGTCTGTCCGTCTGTCTGTCCGTCCGGATGAACGCTGAGATCTCGGAAACTATGGGAGCTAGGCTATTGAGATTTGGCGTGCTTCTGAGCTTCTTACGCAGCGCAAGTTTGTTTCAGAAATGTGCCACGCCCACTCTTACGCCCACAAACCGCCCAAAACTGTGGCTCCTACAGTTTTGATGCTAGAATAAAAATTTTAACTGAAATGTATTGTTCTCATCAATACCTATCGATTGACCACGCCCACTTTAACGCCCACAAACCGCGAAAACCTGTGACGCCCACAATTTTCATGCTAGATAAAAAATTTTAACTGAAATGTATTGGTCTCGTCGATACCTATCGATTGATCCAAAAAAAAATTTGCCACGTCCACTCTAACGCCCATAACGCTTAAATCTGTATACCGCCGGTAGGTGGCGCATTTTAATCTCGCCTTGCTGCTTGCATATCTCCATATAGCTGAGTAACGGGTATCTGATAGTCGAGGTACTCGACTATAGCGTTCTTCCTTGTTTTTTGTTTCTGTTTATGAGATTCTAACATTAATCTAGCTCTCTTAAATGCTTGTTCTAGTCTAAACTTATATTCTTTAGCGTTGTCATCTATATTATATAGTGTTTTTTTTGGTCTATACTAATAAAATGTTTAGGTAAATTTTAAGTTTTGCCAAAAACTAACTCATATGGACAATAGTCATGTGCCATAGAGGGTGTTGTGTTGAAACAATAAACGAAGTATTGGAGTCATACATCCCAATCTGATTTATCAACTGAGATGTATGAGCGGATGAACTCATTACATGTTCTGTGTTTTCGCTCCACGGTTCCTACAGTCTGGTGATGGTGTGCGGTAGAATCTATGTTTTTGATATTTAAATTTTTTTTTCAATTATCAAATTTTTATATTTTCTTGTCCCCCGTCCGTACTTCAAAATAAAATCTTCGAATACAGCTTTTGCTTCCGTTTTTGTTCTGAATTGGTATTGCCACAAGGTATTTAGTTAAATAGCAAATTAGGGTTATTGCATATTAATTTCCTTGTTCTGATTTAGGTAGTGGCCGATCGTACACACAATTACCCTGTCAAAAGCAATTTTTGGCGTTTCAGTAATAGTCAATGGTGTTTTTGTATGTTTGGTTGTTTTGGATTTTTGGCATTTTCTTATATAATTCGTTATATCTCGGGTCATATTTTTCCAATAAAAATTCCTTTTTATCTTTGCTAAGATCTATATGATCTATATGATCTCCTTTTATTGCATCTTCACGGAATGTAAACAGTAATGCTTGTTTCTCTTTATCATTATTTGATAATAGGGTCACCGCATTGAGTAGCGCTACTCTTAAGGATTGTAATTTTTTATTGCCCATTATTTTAAAAGATTCCATTGAGATTGTGTCAAAGATCTTTTTGCTCGGTGCCACTTTGAGTTGGCTGATATTTAGTATACCGGCTTCATTTTCAAGCCTTTGAAAGAACTGACCTAAGTCGAAAATTCCATTGATGTACATATCGCTAACATCAATTCCCGCTATAACTTTTTTTTTATGCTTCAGTAACCATAGTGAATCTGTTATTCGCAAGGTCACTACTCTTCGTACCTCGTCAATGACTTCGTATACGTTGGGCTGAGAAGCTTTACTTAGAGTTTGCCTAGGCAAATCTATTTTTTCTTTTCTTTTCCTGCGCAGAAATTTTTCTGTTTACTTTGGTTTCTGATAGTGACTCCCAGAACTTTATTATTCGTTTGAATATTTTTAAAGTCCGTTATATTTATTCTTGAAAGCGCGTCGGCTATATGATTTTCCTTTCCCTTTCTGATAGTGACTCCCAGAACTTTATTATTCGTTTGAATATTTTTAAAGTCCGTTATAGTTATTCTTGAAAGCGCGTCGGCTATATGATTTTCCTTTCCCTTAAAATATTCTACAGTAAAATCATATTCTTCTAAGTCTTATCTCATTCATGTTAGTTTTGAGCTCGGGCTTGTCATTGAAAATAAGTAAGTTAATGGCCTATGGTCTGTTTTGACTGTGAAATGTCTTCCATAAATATATGGTCAAAAATAATTTATCGCCCAGTGGATAGCTGCTAACTCTTGTTCAGTTGTATTTTTGTTGCTTTCTCCTTTTGTAAATAATCTTAATGCATAGGCTACTGATAGCTTGGTGTTATTGTAATCTTGAGTTAGAACTGCTTAAAATCTGGATAATGCAGTAGTGTGGGTATCATCAATTGAATTTTATTCGAATGTTTAGTTGTGTTGTGTTTCCTACATAAATCAAAAACGTTTTTGAGATTTTTAATCGTGTGCTTTTCTGAACAACTTATGACATGTCATCCATATACAAAAATGCCTGTGAAGGTTCTATACCTGAATATGCAATTGTCACATTCTTTGAAAAGAATTTGGCGCTATTTTTAAACCATAAGGTATTCGCGTGAAGCGATAGGAGCCATTGCTCGTGGAAAAGGACGTTACATTTCTAGACGTTTCTTCGAGTTCTATTTGATGAAATCCTGACAACAAATCTAAACATGAAAAGTATTTAGCTCTACCTAGTTGGGCAAGAATATCGTCTATTCTTGATAGTGGATATTTATATGATAAATTTTTTTTTGTTAATTTGGCGGTAATCAATTACTAAATGCCATCTCTTAGTATCGCAACCTGGTAATGATATTTTTGGGACGAATAATAATGGACTGTTGTATTCAGAAACTGAAGTTTCTACTATTTTGTCTTTAATTAATTTTTCTACTTCGTCTTTTTGACTGTGTGGAATTCTATATTTCTTTATCTTTCATTCTTACTTTTTTTTTTAAAATTATTAGTTGATATCGATTTGGATTCTATTCCGAATATATCTGTGTATTTCGTGCATAATTTATTAAGTGTTTCCTTGAACTGAGGTGCAAAATTTTTTTTCAGTATGTCTAAAATTTCTTCTTTGTTTTAATTTTTATTAGATTTAATTATGTCGTAATCATCCAATGGTTCAACTTTCAATGTATTTAATCGAATGATTGCAGTTTTATCAGTTGTATTCAAAATTGGGACAAAAGTGTTTTTAGGATCTGCAATGGAATTTCCAACGAATACTCCGTTTTGGATTTCTTGGTTTGATATTAATATATACCTGGTTGCTGAATTTATAACAATTTTTAGGACTACTTCGGATTTTGCTGGTTAAATTGTCAAATTATTTTGGGATGAATGGGATTATAGAGGTTATCTGGTCTCAGTATGAGCCAATCATTTTCTGGTTTTAGATCTATTTGACAGTTGCATTTTTCATAGAATCTATGCCTATAATTCAATCACATGGAATAGGAAAATTTGATGTTACTATATGAAAATTATGTTCTATTGATACTAATCCTTTTGAGTTGGTTGTTCCTTCACCAACACTTGATATTTGGGTAATATTTTTATAGTCAAAATTTTTAAATGAGTCCGAAGTTTCTTTTATTAAAGAGATGTCTGCACCTGTATCAACTAATAATGTATATAATTTATTTGTTTGTTCATTTTTAAAAAAGA